ACCTTAAAAGGAAAATGATAGACAACTAGAAAGTGAGAGACTCTTAAAATTCCTTGCCAGTCCAGCCTACAGGTTGCTATCAGCATAACCATCTGAAAGCAAAGCTTACTGAAAAGTGTTTGTAAGTTGACCTCTCCCACATGCAGAATGCGGCATCCTAATTACAGCTATGTCAAGTCCCAGTGTCCAAGCTGCACAGGCAGAGGGCTTCAGAAATTGGCCCCTCATCACCTGTATTTCCAGTACTGCTTTTTGAAGTTTCCTTCCCTAAATGCCAGAAGTTAGCAACTACGGTGCATGGGCCAAATCTGGACTACTGCCTGTTTTTGTAATTAACATTTTACTCAAACATGGCCTTGTTCATTTGTTTACATATTGTTTATAGCTGCTTTTATGCTATAATGGCAGAGTTGGGTAATTGTAATAAAGGCCATATGTGGTCTCTTAGCCCACAAAGCCCAACATATTTACTGTCCGGCCCTTTATGGAAACAGTTGGCTGACCTCTGCTACAGACCAGTCTTTTTCAGACATTTTGGATCATGACCTACAATAAATACATTTTGCCATGAGAACTACTATATACTATGTACACATGTACACATTTATGTACACACACAAAATTTTCAAAATATTAGCTTTCTAAATGTGATGCATTCTGATAGTTTCTATTCTTTTTTTTAAAGTTGTTCATTATATTACTTTAATCTCATGACCCCAAATGAGTCCCATTTCATAATTGGGAAAACACTGCTCTAGAAAAGTTGAGCAGTTGGCTACTAATAATACATCCTCTGCTCTCCCCCCTCTATTATTTCTTTGACATCACTCCCCCAGTTGGCAAGAGCTTACTTTTTCCTCCCTATTCTCTAAGCACTCGCTTAACTTCCATTGCTTTCACGAAGTCTGCTTTGAACCGCTAGTCCAAAAGTACTTTCTCCTTTTTTCATCTCCCAAATCATATTTTCCACTCCTTCATTGTGGCACTTTAAAGTCCCTGCATTGTAGAATAGCCATCTGTGAATCTTTCTTATCATGTTCCCTAAATAACTCAGAGGTTTTTATTAAGGGTGTGATCTTAAGCATTTTGTTTTCTACGCACCATCCAGTATAGTGTCTTTTTCTCTCTAAGCACTGAATAAATGTTTATTAAGTTGAAGCAGGCAAATACCTATTATCAAAGGTGTAACATGGTTTACACATGGAGTAATACTTATCCCTTTAATTAAAGAGACTAAAATTATAACAACACATTGTAAGCACTCAGTAAATGCTTATGGAGACAGAGAGAGAGGGATAACCTGCACTTACCAGTTTCCATTCCGTTGCTAGATTTGTTTTATTTTACTAACCAATGGACAAAATTATTACATATGATATATAATTTCTAATTTTTGTGAGTAATGGTCACTAGTTTAAGCACACTGAACAACAAAGAGGAAGGAAATCATTCTATTTATTAGGGCCTCAGCAGAGAAAGGATATAACCATTAGGGCTGTCCCAAGCAGAGCTGCCAACCCGAGTTCAGACAGTAGTACTTGAGAAAGTTTGATATGGTCTCTTACTGCTCAAGGAAAAAAGGTGCATGCCATCCTCCTGGACTATTAATGATAATGCTTCTAGGATCTAATTGATTTTGGTAAGAGAAAAAAATATTCCAGGAAGAATTTCCTTCAAGAAGCCCAACATGACCTGAAACAGTCATAATCATTTAATGTGGTTTCACTACAATTTGTTTAAACATAATCAAATGTGATTTATTTTTAGAAATCCAAGTATGATTTAATAACAGGAAACCAATAATGATAATTCATTAGATCCTTATAAGAAAAATGGTAATATATTAACAGATTAATATTTTAATGGATTAAAGATTATGACAGGTCACCTGATAAATCCAGCAATCATTTCTAATAAGATTCTAATTAGAATGAAAATAGAAACAATAATCTATATAAACACGATAAAAATTTTACTAATATTAAAAAGCGGTCATCAAAATATATGGAAAAATACTAAATCTATTTCCATTAAAATTATGAGCTATTTGTTATTATTTAATTTTATTTTGAAGATGATAGTGCAATAGGATAAGAACATGAAATAAAAGGTATAAATATTATAAAGGAAAACATTAAAAAACCGGTCATAGATTATATGACTGTATACCAAAAAACCCCACAAAAGAATATAGAGATTTAAAAAAATTATAATTAATAATGATGTGCTAAGGGGGTTGTAAACCAGAGAAAAAGCATAGTGATAATCAATAGCTGCTCTTCATATAAACACTAAACAAATCAGAAAGGACAATGAGGACAGCAGCATCAAAATCAAAGCTATTTAAAGTTCTACAGGACATTTGACCCAGTTTCTTCAATGAATAAATAATAAGGGGAAATGTGGAAGATTGCACATTAAAATGCAGATTAAGAGACTTGAGAGACATATCAACCAAATTTAGATCCAGCTACAGCCTGGTAATGGAGGGGGAGTAAAGATAGGAAAAATTATTAAATTATTTTGGAGTTCATTTGTGAACTTTTGTCTAGAATACAGAAATCTGCAAGAGAAAGTCATTCCCACCCTAGTAATGAGAAAAGACCAAGAAATTTAAAAAATAATAACAACTTTTTTTGAACTCAGAAGATCTGAGATGACAAGGCAATAAAGTAAAGAGAATTCTGAAGCATGACAAGACACTCCAAGGAAAGACAGAACCCAAAACTATCTCACTTTTGACAAAGCACAGAAGAAAGAGGAAGCTGCCTAACAGATATAAGAAGTCACCTAAGAGTTTTAAGAATTCTTAAAGGCCAAGTGTAGCCTATCATGTTAGTTTAAAATCACCTGGAGTCCTAGATGTAAGGGTTATACTTCCACACTCTTTCCCACAGACTGCCATTTGGTGCTCGCAAGACATCAGGAATGGGAAGGGAGACGTGGTGGTACAGACATGCAGGAGACAATCAGCTGCTTCTGGGAGATAAGTATGAAGCCCTTCTACTTTCCCTAAACACTTCTTTCATATGAAACAAAAGTGCCAAGCCCCTAGATGTACAGGCTAAAAACCTGCTCAGTCCACAGACCAGGCAAAGATCTACTGCCAAAAAGGAGCAAAAGAAAAAAACCCTCTGCCCTGGGAAGGGTATACGAAACCTTCTTGGGCTCAGAATCCTATACCAATACAAAACTCAGGTCACTGCCACCGGAGAAGTTTCAGGAGCCTAGTGATATAGCTCAATTTTGTGTTACAGACATGCAATAACTGCCGAAAGCTGAGTGTGAAACAGGAACACTTAAAAGATCTCTCTAGTACCCCATTCCTAGTCTCAGTACCTAGTACAAGTATTCTACTGCTGGAGGAATTTGAAGCCTGTGGTAACCCTGAAGGTTATAACAAACAGTGAAATCCAAACCTAGTTTAACTGCTGCCTAGATTAACTTAACCTTCTGCACTAATTGCCTGAAGAAAGAGGTGTGTTCATTTCTCAGTATAAATACGATTTAACTGAATATCTACTGTTCTTATTCACATATTGTCGGCATTCAGTAAAAAATTATGAGAACCTCAAAAAGCAAGAAAAAGCAAACCACTGTCAAGAGCTAAAGCAATCAGCAGGACTAGAGTCAGAGATAAACCAGATATTAGAAGTAGTAGACTGGGAGGGGGCCGGGTTTGGCAGTTGAGGGAAACTGCTAGGGGAGGGAGGTGCATACCTCATCAACAAGGGTACCTGCCTGATCATCATTTGTATTCCTAACCCTGAATTGTACCCCACATCTTTAAAATAAAAAATTAAATTAAATTTTAAAAAGTAGTAGACAGGGAGTTTTAAATAGCCATATTTAATATATTAAATGATCTAATGGAAAAGATAAATAACATACATAAACAGAGTGGGGGATTTCAGAGGATGAAAACCATAAAAAAGAAACAAAGAGAAATTCAAGAAATAAAAACACAAGAGATTTAGAATTCTCCAGTAGGCTCATCAGCAGCCTGGAGACAGCTAAGGAAATAATTAGTGAACTTAAATATATTACAGTAGAAATTATCTAAACGGAAACACACACACACAAAGAGAGTGAAACAAATCAGAACAATTCACATAAGAGTTCTGAGGCAAAATCTATGGTCACAAATTATCTAACATAGGTGTAATTGGAGTCTAAGGAGGAGAAGAGACAAAGAATGGAGAAGGAGAACTATTCGAAAAGACAACAACTGAGCATTTTCTACAATAATGAACAACAATAAATGACAGATCCAAGAGAACCCCAAGCAGGGCTATACACACACACAGACACCCAGACATATTATAAATAAACAGTGGAGAATGAAAAATTAAAAGAAAATATTGATGTTAGTCAAAGGCAGGGGGTTGAGAAGGTACTTTACATACAGTAGGAAAATAAAAATAAAAATTACATCAGACTTCTTGGAGACTATGCAAGCCAGAAGACAATAGGGTGACATATTTGAAGCATCAAAAGATAAATTATTCTTAACATTTTAGATATAATTATGGTACTGCGATTGTGTTTTTTTGAGGAAGTAAAAGAAGAGCCCTTCTATTTAAAGATTCACACTGAAATATTTGCAGACAAAGCGATAAGCTATAAAGGATTGCTTCACAATAATCAGGGAAGAAGGCTCCTTTTAGAGAGAGTGGAGATAAAGGAAGATTGGTTATGAGTTGATGATGGTTGAAACGGAGTGATAGGCACATGAGAATTCAGGATAATGTTCTTTCCTCAAATACATTTTTAAAGATTTTCATAGTAGAAAAAAATTTAAAGAATGACATTTTAAGAGAAGAAATAAAATGGGCAAAAGAGATAAGCACATCATAGCACACACTAGGTTTCTCTGATTTTTTTTTTTTTTTTTTGCCTCTACTTAACCTCCCTCCAGCCTTTCATCCACAGTTCTCCAAACTGAGGTCACAGAAAGCTGCAGTCACCCTCCCCAGTAACATTACCCCAACAAAGCCTACCAGTGCCAAAGCTCTCTTCTCCACACAGAGAACACCGCCCTGAGTCCATCAGATTTGAGAAGAATCTCCATCCAGCTGGGGTCTCATATACAGGTACCTTCATTGATTTGGCCACTCTAAAAAATAAAATTTGAGACAACAGTCAATTCATATGCCTCATTTCCTTTCTTTTCTCAGCACAATAGGAAGTCATTAGAATCTGCTAATTCCATAGCAAGATTTTAGAACAACTTGGACACTGTTGACTGTTTCCAGGGTGTCAAGCCATAAGCCAGAAAATAGAAAGTAGCCCATCCTAATGGTTCTCAATTTTACTTTCTCAATGATATAGAAAATATTAAGTTAATCTATGGAATATTTTCACATGTTTCCCTCCTTTAAGTTTTCCTTGATCTTTTTGGAAAGAGTACACTTAGGGATATCAGAATCTAAATTAAGATAGAATTTGGGTATAAACACTTTGGAATAGCATTTAACAGTATCTACCAAAGATGAGTTTACCCATATCCTATGAACCAGCAATTCAACTCCTTGAAATCACTAATGACATGTAGTGGACACTGTGGTACACCGCTCAGAGTCACTCCCAATACACACACACATTAGATATTTTAGGACTAGACTAATCATTCTCCCAGCTGCTAGAAATGTTGATGGCTGACAGCTTACAGATGTGGCCTTTAGTCTCTGTCAAAAAGATATGTCTCACCCAAAATCATGCTCCCATCCCTGGGTCAATCCACATGTACTGACTGGTCAATGAGGAATGTATAAAGGTCTGCCCTCCTTACCCTGATTTGGCACTACTCTCTCTATAAGACCAATTCAGCTCCAGAGCTTCCCCACAGGTTGGCTGAGGCCTTTGTTGTGATGGCATTTCAGTCCAACTTCTCTCTGTTCAATCCTCCTTCCTCACTCTCCCATAGGTGTTGATCTTGAATGCAACTTTGAACTTGAAAGCAGTAAGGAATAAACCTCTGAGAGCAACTCTCTCAGATCTGCTTCCTGGGAAACCCAGTATGCAATAATACTCAAAAATATTGTACACAAGGAAACAATCCAAATGTCCATCACAGTAGAATGGACAAATAATTTATGATATGTAATGTAATGCCATAAATCCCATTGAACAAACTATTGCTAGGTGCAACAATTTGAATGAATCTCCCAAGCATAACACAGACAGACCCTGGCTTACAATGGCTCAACTTACAATTTTTTTCCTTGATGATGGGTTGATCCAAACGTAACCCCATTGTTAAGCCGAGATACTCCTAATGATTTACAATGGGTTATGGTTTCTACTGAATGTGTATTGCTTTTGCACCATTATCAAGTTGAAAAACTGTAAGTTGGATATCATAAATTGGGAACTGCATTTTTGATGACAATATTTTCGACTTAAGATGGATTTCTCAGTATGTAAACCTCACCTTAAGTTGAGGAGCATCTGCAATGAATAAAAATAAATTGCAGAGGAATATATACTGTATTGTTCCATTTAGACAAAATTAAAAAACAACCAGAACTAATCAATGCTGTCAAAATTCAGGTTCAGAGGCTCAGAGAGCTCGAGTATTTTGTCAAATGTCTCACAGAGGTAAGAGGCAGTGCTAGATTTGGACCCAGTTCAGCTTAATTCCTTCCCATTTTGCTGTTTCCCAAACATCTCAGTGCTTCAAGAGGGATACAGATCTCAAAGCTTGTTAGGGAATGAGCTGGCACCATAGACATTGGCCTGGAGAGTTTCATCTTCCCTGTATGCGAGCAACAGAAAAACACCAAATGCCAAACACCAGCAAGGCTGCATTTCTTGAAGGCTGTGAGTACAGAGGGAAGCCATGGAGAGGAATCAACACGGGCCATGAATGAGGAAGAAGAAGAAGGAAGATGCACATAGGATAACGGATACAATGTAGTCATGATTCCTTAGGTTTGTTCTGTAGCCAGCTAAAATAAAACATTTCTAGAAACATCATTTTCCACAAACCCGATATAATGAACATGCTCAGGATTAGAAAACTGTGCCAAGCTCTCTTTCAAGTTTGCTTTGGAAAGAAGCACCTTCTAGGTCGTTCCCTGTTGCTGCAAAGATATGCCATTATCTTATGTTCTGGTAGGAAAAGTGAAAGAAATTCTCCCCAAACTTGTAGAGCAAAAATACATTTTCAGAACGATTGATTTCATGGTCAAAAGCTCAAAGAAGGAAGAATAAATCACACAGAAGCCTTTCGGGGCAGCATATAGTAAAGCCTGAGTCAAAGCTAATTTAGCAAAGATAAATGTATATGAATAGCGAATAGATCATGCAACTGGGGGCAGAGGTGAGGGCAACAGCGAGGGTAGAGGGCGTGGGCATGTGTATTCCCTGACCAAAACATTCTTGTAGGTTCAAAGCCAAGTTGGCAGGTCTGAAGGGAGGGGAAAGGATTTCCCCAGCTCCCACCCTTCCCAATTAATCACTGTCAGGAGATCATCAAGCTGAAGGCTGCAGCTGGATTTTAAAGGACTGGATACTTTTATAACTATGAGCCACAGTCACAGCTATGTAATTTAAGATAACAATATGGGTAATCAAATTCCAGGATCCTGAGCTTGAGTTGATTGTGTCCTAGGGTCAGAAAGGAATTCCCCCAACTCCTCCCTCTCCTGAACTTGGGATTCATCCCAAACACAGCATTCAGCAGATGCCATGCATTAGATTGGTTTTTGGCAGGAGGCCCCTGGAGTCCCTGAAATCCTCTAGTACAAGGGCTCAAAATGAAATTCCTCATGCTGAGGGTCTGACCTTCTCTCCCCTACTGGCTGCCACCACGTGTTGGAGACAAACATGAGAATTTACTTCCCAGGAAAGGCCAGAGTATACAAGGAAAAAAAGAAAATTAATCTGAGTCGCAATTTTTCTGCAGGTGGAAATAAGCCCTGGCAGCCAAAACAACATGCTGGATGTAAGCTCTCGGGCTGGATTTTTAAAATCTCCAAAGAATGGGGGTACCTGATCTCAAACCAGGCAAAGTGGGGACCAAAGGGAGGCCCAAACTTTACCTGTACAATCCTGAATTACACCCCACATCTTAAAAAACAAACAAAAACCTCCAAAGATGTGACTTCAGATTGGAAATAGTCTCACCCTAGCATTCCAACAGTTTCTCCCACTCTACTCCCTATATAGTCTATGTTCTTAACAAACTAAACTATTCCCTACTTTCCAAATATGCTCTTGCCCTTGCAATTTGTTGATATTGTTACTGCTTAGTCCTTTGTGCTATTAATTTTTAATCTTCCTTTCTAATCTCTATCAAAATACTTTAAGTTGTCTCAAGATCTATCTTAAATGTCCTGCCATCATAAAGACTGTCTTAGTCTGTTTTGTGCTGCTATAACAGGATGCCTGAGACTGGGTAATTAACAAAGAATAGAAATTTATTTCTCACAGTTCTGAAGGCTAAAAAGTCCCAGATCAAGGCACCAGTATCTTGTCTCATGAGGGCCTTCTTGCTGTGTCCTCACATGGCAGAGGCTAGAAGGAAAGCCAGTCAGCTGAGTGAAGCCTCTTTTATAAGGGTCTTAATCCTGTTAAGGCACCCTCATCCTAGTCACCTCTTAGAGGCCCCAACACTTTAGTACTATCACATTGGCAACACCTGAACCTTGGAGAGAATTAAGTTCCAGCATGAATATTGCAGGGGACAAAACATCGAAACCATAGCAAAGCCAGTGGCACGGACTGCTAGGTGGTCAACAAATCTGTCTCATCTTCTTGGACACATACTATATGTCCTAGCCTCCTTTGCAATTAGCTATGGCCATGTGACTAGGTCTAGCCAATGGAACTTGTCTTTTGGATCCCATTTTCCATGTTCTTTCTCTTTCTTCCAGCTTGATGTGGGCATGCCCAGCAATCTTAGAAGCCATATGTTGAAGATGGCTGGTCCATAAGATGAAAGAATCTGGATCTCTGAATCACCATCTGGAGCAGACTCAAATACTAATTAAATACACCTGTTTTTAACTTTTGGTGATGATTGAGAAATAAACTTTTCCCACATTTGAACCATTATATATCTTGGGGCTAGTGCTATAGTAGCAGGTACACTATCTTAACAAATACAAACCTTTCCTCATCGCTGATATCAATCCAACATGACCCTTCCTGCCACTAAACTTCCTATTATTTGGTATAGGTCTTTACATTCACATTGTCTTTGTACATGCTGTGTACCCACTTAACACTTTCCCACCACACACAGACACTATCACCACCACCAATGTGCTAGAAGTTCTTTGAAGGCAGAGACTGTGTCTTATGTCTTTATGGCTTCTTCAACATCTAGAATAATATGTTATCTTGTCAAACTTTCCCTCAATAAACTCTATGTAATTTTAGTTGACTAATATTTAAGAGGTTATTACAAGGGTTGTTGGATAGCAGGGGGCTGAGTATGTCTATTTTATGGTCTTTTCTCCTCATAGCTTTCTTAAAAATATAATTAGGTCTTTTCTGCATGTTTTATTTAGTCATTTTGAGAAAAGAGAATTTATCCAGATATTAATTAGTGGGGTATTAGGATGAGAAAAAAGTATATCCCAAAGTACAGATCTTACAGAACGAGGGCAGTGACTAAATGAGGATCAAAAGTTTGAGAAGCAGAAGGTCACTTTATTTTTATTTTACCCATCTGATGATCATCCTACTTACATATGATCAAACTGGATAACAGATTCAAAAGCACTCTAAAAGTGCCATGAAAGCTATCCAAATGTAGGGGTACTGGCATTTTTGTACTTCTAGCATCCTGCACAGTGCATGCCTATAGTAGGTATTTAAATATTTATTAACTCAAAGTACAATATTATTATGTATTATAATAATCTACTTGGCTGTCATACTGATGACTGCCTTTTAACCTGCAAGAGAGTAGCCAAATAAACATAGACCGATCATATCAAGAGCATGAGGCATACCCAGCTGCTCTTGGAATCCTACTTCAAGAAAGTTGTGATAGACTTAAAGAGGACAAGATCCAGGTCTCTATTCCTTTCCTCTGTCTTCAAATGTTAACTCTCTTGAGAGCCAAGAAAGGTCTATTTGTACTATTTTCTACACAGTGAACTC